CTTTTCAATTTCCATTAATATAATTATTATAGTTCCAACAATCCCCCACTTGAATTTTAAGGAAATTTTAGAAGTCCGTCAAACGTTTCTAAGATTGTGCATAAGCAAAGGTGTCTACGACTTGAACCTTAGCGTAGCGAGTAGGACTCTGATTCAACAAGAGTGACACTATTGTCTTGAACTCTATCTCGGACATCAGACCCGCACACAACCTTTTCGTAAGGTGTATTCTTGTAGCCCGTGCTTTAGTGGCCCTGCACGTGTATCCCGGTTTAGTGAATGTTCTAGGAATTCAGCCTCGAAATTCCATAGGAACCGGCCTCAGTTCCACAGTCACATAGGTGAATCTATCAAGAGTACTCCTGTAGCCTAGGTACTCCCTCATACAGAGTATAGATCTCATTAAGAGTTTCTATTATCTCATCCTCTCATTACTTCAGGATTCATGCTGTACTTGCATGATCATTTCCATATTACTCACAACTTGTTATTACCCATTGAACCTAAGTCTTGGGATCTCTAGTCATTTAGGTCGGGTTACCATCATGAGTAACTAATTGCTTTATAGGCATTAGTCCCATCCTTTTGGATGTATTATGGACTTTCTCTCTAGCTAATCCTTTCGTCAAAGGATCTGCTAAGTTTTCATCAGTGCGTACATGATCCACTCTCACAGCTCCTTTAGATATACAATCTCTAACAGTGCTATGTTTTCTTCTAATTTGACGTCTTTTACCATTATAATAACGGTTCTCAACTTTTGCAATAGCTGCGGTACTATCGCAGTGGATTAACACAGCTGGTATAGGTTTTTCCCATAAGGGAATCTCAGCTAGCAAGCATCTTAACCAACTTGCTTCTTCACTAGCTGTAGCTAATGCTATCATCTCAAACTCCATTGTGGACTGTGCCAGAATGGTCTGTTTCTTTGATTTCCAAGATACAGCTCCTCCGGCTATACTAAATATATAACCACTAGTAGCTTTGGAATCATCCGATAAGGTGTTCCAATCTGCATCACTGTACCCTTCTAGTACAGTAGGAAATTTCTGATAGTGTATGCCGATGTCCATAGTCCTTTTAAGGTACCTCATTACTCGCTCAATAGCTTGCCAATGTTCGTTACTCGGCCTACTTGTAAATCTGCACAACAATCCTAAGACATATGCAATGTCGGGTCTAGTACAATCAGTGGCATACCTAAGACTGCCAATGATGCTCGCATATTCTGCTTGTTTGACACTTTCTCCAGTGTTCTTAAATAGTTTCATAATTGGATCATACGGAGTGCATGCAGGTTTACAATCAAAGTATTTATATTTCTTTAAGATCTTCTCTACATAGTGAGATTGATCCAAAGAAATTCCTTGTTCGGATCTCGTGATCTTGATACCCAGGATCACGCTTGCTTCTCCGAGGTCTTTCATATCAAAGTTATTGCATAACAATGATTTCATATCATTAATGGCCTGAACGTTTGATCCAAATATAAGTAGATTGTCTACATATAGACATATGATAGTACAAATGCGATTCTCAGATTTGTAATAAACGCACTTGTCACTTTCATTCACTTTGTACCCATTAATTACCATTAAGTTATCAAACTTTTCATGCCATTGTTTAGGGGCTTGTTTTAGTCCATACAGAGACTTATCTAACTTACAGACCTTGCTTTCTTGACCTTGGATTACAAACCCTTCTGGTTGTTCCATATAGATTTCTTCTTCTAAGTCACCGTTTAAAAAAGCTGTTTTAACATCCATTTGGTGTACTATTAAGTTATAAATAGCTGCTATTGAAATGAGTACCTTAATGGATGTAATTCTAGTGACCGGAGAAAAGGTGTCGAAGAAATCTATATTTTCTCTTTGTCTAAAACCCTTGGCTACAAGACGAGCCTTGTATTTCTCAATCGTTCCATCAGGTTTTAGTTTCTTTTTCAAAACCCATTTACAACCAATTGGTTTGCAACCCGGGGGTATGTCTACTAAGTGCCAGGTCTTATTAGATTCTAGAGAATCTATCTCATCATTAATGGCTTCTTGCCATAAGTCTGCATCCATAGATGACAGTGCTTCTTGAAGATTTATTGGATCTTCTTCTACATTATAGGCCGCATAATCGGGTCCATATTCTTTAGCAACTCTTGCTCTTTTACTTCTTCGAAGTTCTGTTTCTACTTTGTCGCTGCTTTCAGTGCTTTTTATCACAGGAATGCGACTCGATTGTGTGCCCCCACTATTTCTCGATTTGAAAGGAAATTTGTCTTCAAAGAATTCAACATCGTTTGATTCTATGATTATTCGGGCATTTAGGTCATAAAACCTGTATGCCTTACTATTTGCTGCATACCCAATGAATGCGCATTCATAGGCTCTACTAGCGAGTTTAACTCGTTTCGGATCCGGAATTCTGACATAAGCCAGACAGCCCCAAGTTCTCAAATAAGACAAATTTGGTTGTCTTTTCTTTAATATCTCATAAGGTGAGATCTTAGTTTTTGACTTGGGAACTTTATTCAGGACATAGAAAACAGTCAATAAAATTTCCCCCCACCAGTGAGGTGCAGCACCAGAATTTAACATGATTGCGACTACAAGTTCAGTAAGAGTCCTATTCTTTCTTTCTGCTTTACCATTCATTTCAGGAGAGTATGGAGCAGTCGTTTCATGTATAATACCATGTTCAGCATAAAAATCATTAAACAAGCTAGAGTCATATTCGGTTCCCCTATCACTGCGAAGTCTCTTAATCTTCTTGTTAAATTGATTCTCAATTTCAGTTACATACACCTTAAACATGTCAAGCGCTTCACTTTTATTCTTCATTAGATATACATAAGTATAATCAGAGCAATCGTCAATAAAAGTGATAAAATAACGTTTATTATTCCTAGATAAACTTCCATCTAATTCACATATATCAGAGTGTATAAGATCTAGGGGATCAGATTCTTTTATTTTGTGACGAAGCAGATTTTTGAAATCTTTCCAAACAGGGGGCAGTTTATCAATAATTACAGCAATTTGAAATTGTTCATTGAAGGGCATACCTTCTGTAATAATCTCATGAGCAATCTTCTGAATTTCGTGGCTTTGAGCTTCCACCGACTTCTCATCCACCATCTTGTAGTTCAAGTAGCGGCTGACAGCATATTTCTTCGCACCTGCTTCTTCAGTATCATATTTTCTTTGTAGAGCTTCCCATACCTGTTTAGCAGTTCTGTAGCTACTGTAGTAGTCGTACAGATCATCAGCAAGGCTGTTCAGAATGTGATTTTTGCACAGATAATCATTCTCGTGCCATAAGGCGATTTCTTTTCGGAGCTGTAGATCATTTGCTGCAGCCTTAGCTTTTGCAGCATCTGAGTCAGGCGTTTTGGAAGTCCCGTCTGAATCTGCAAGTGAATTATCTTTAGGTAGTTCAGCTGATGCAGAAGGGACAGTCGGGATATCCTCAGTCAGAATGTGGGCAACCTTTTTTAGAGTTAAGAAAAATTTCATCTTAGCTTGCCAACGTTTGAAATTGGAACCCTCAAACCTGAAAGGTTTGTCAGAGACCGAAGCGGCCGCAGTAGTACCGATAATTTCCTCAGTAGCCATGGCAGTTATGAAAACGTCTTAAAATTGTTGTTTTCGTATTTGAAATATTGGCACAAGGAAATTATCGGGACGAGTCGCGTACTAGGTCGCTTTCTTTAAGACGTTTCGCCGTACTGCCAAAATATGCAAAGCAGTCGATTTACGACGACGCCTCCAGGATAAAACAACCCGTTCAAATAAACTTACGATTATCAATCAGTCGCTCTAGAAATACACCTTTCTAAATTATCTGGCGAAAAATAGCCAATCCAGTATCTGGCGAAAATAGCCAGTCAGAAATTCCAAAAAAAAAGGAATTTTATAGATGAAGAGAATTTGGGAGAGAAGAAAGAAATCAAAATTCGTGTAAACTTGTGAAATTCATAGTGCTCACTACTGAATTTATACCCTTTATTTATAGGCAGCTAGTGAGGCTGATATTTCCATTCCTCCAATGTGGGCCTAAAATGAATCTTGTCAAATTCACTTTCCAATTACCATTAATATAATTCCAACATCCAATGTGAGACTAAAATGAATCTTTTCAAATTCACTTTCCAATTCCCATTAATATAATTCCAACATCCAACGTGGGACTAAAATGAATCTTTTCAAATTCACTTTTCAATTTTCATTAATATAATTATTATAGTTCCAACAGACATGGTATGCAATAAAAATATGCAGAATTATAATAGTTAACTAATACTTTAAAAATAATACATGACTATTTCTAACCGTTTTAACTAATACTTTTTAACTAATACTCTTTTACAAAAAAAACAACATAAACTTTTTCCAAACTTATGCTCTAAAAGCTTTTGTTGTTTTCATAATAGTGAAGTTCATACTAAAATATGATTTTGTAAGTGTTCATGTTTGATAAAAATATATATTCTGATCGCAGAAAATATAAACAGCAGAGAATCTATTCCTCAAAGAATTTGTCAAATTTTATTTTAGTTTCCCATTCCACAAAGTATGACACGACTCACGAGTAATTTGGGTTTGAAGAGGCTAGGTGGCACCAAATGGAACAATGGTTTCACAAGTTGTTATTCTCTTTTTCTCTCTCTCTCTCTTGCACCTTATATACTTTTGTTGATAACCGTTTGTTTTGCACTTGATGCCTCTCATTTTAAGTTAAACAGTCAATCTACAACCATTGATAAGGATTCTGACTCAATGGTGGAAATAGATACGGATACCAAGTCACACGGAGGATTGCCAAAGAAATAATTCAGTGTCATTTTCTCTTATTATTTTCAAGATTAAGCGCTTACATCAAGTAATTCAAGCCAATTGAGTTATTTATATATATGATACTTTGATTTCAATCCTTATCATTTTTCAAGAATTCATTTTACATTGTTCAATTTTATCTCTCTTGTAGACAACAAAGATCACTCTCCTACGATGGTTCAATTCATTCCCGGCGGCCGCTTAGTGGAATCATTTATTGAGCGGCAAGCGCGGGTGAATGCTGCATGTTCCTCACTTATCGATATGGGTTACAGTTCCGATCTGTTTACCATCAACAATCTCTATGAAAATGGGTACACCGACGATCACTTCCTCGACTTTATCAAACCAATTTCTTCCATCACAGATCTCGACGAGTTAAGGTATCTTTCCAAAGCAACTAATCAATTTTCAACTCGGAATGATTTCAGCCGGTTAATCGACCATATGGAGTGGCTACAGAATGATGTAGAAGGTATGAAAGTTATGGAGGACGTAACAACAAGAATATTAAAGAAACAAGAAAAGAAGAAGGAAATATCAACGTCTGATGTTTCTGGTGACAATATTACCGTCCACCATTTACTTCAGTTTCTGGTGCAGAGTTGACGTCACATTTAGCCAGAAAGCTTGTTTGTTATCCTGGTAGTGTTGTTATTTAAGAAGCTTTTAATGAAACTGGGAATACTATTTTTAAGTTTACAAGTGATGTATCTGAGGAGTTTTTGATGATGAATTAGATTCAAAGAGGGCGCGATGTGAAATCAGCGGAAGAACAGGAGGTGCATTGCAGGACTGTTGGTTTTTGCTTTTACAAAACCGGTGAAGAAGTTGATGGCTTCTTCTTTTTTATTTTATTTTAAAAAAGAACAAATAGTGTAGTCCGGAAATTGCTGCAGGTTTTATGATTACTAGACTAAACCAAATTGCTTTGATGGTAGCAGTTTATTATTAGTGTATTCTAAAAAAACTATAGGGTTCATTATTACTAGACTAAATCAAATTGCTTGGTGGTCGAAGTTTATTATTATTATTATTATAATAAGTTCACTTGTTTGATAGCTATGTATGAATATCAAATTTAGGCATGACTTGAATTCTATCCTTCCATTTTTATTTCTATTTCTCTCTTCTTTATCTGTGACTTAATTTTATTCTCTCTCTTTATTATAAAATTATTTTTGCTTTAAAGAGAGAATACGATTAAGAGAGAAATAGAGAGGAGGGAGAGACATGGAGAGAAAAATAGAAAGAAAAAAAATCTAAAGTGGACTTAAGCATGCCAACATAACTTGTAGAAGATTTTATCCTATATACCATTGTATTTATACTCATACCCCTATAATTTTAATAAAATATTCATTTTATTCTTATATATTTTTATATTTTTTTTTCACTTTTTACCGTATCAGATTTTTGAGACTTCCGAGACCTACCGGAACACTTTTAAAATGACTTCCGGTACATTTTTTTTCTCAAACCGAAAGACTTTGGTAAAGAATTTTAGTTCACACAAATTATGTACAGGAAGACTTTATGAAAGACTTCCAGTTTGAGAATTTTCGTGGGTGTTCACCGGAAGACTTGTAAAAAGAGTTCTGATACTTGTAAAAAGCGTACCAGAATACTTTTTATAAGTCTTTCGGTTTGTATTTTTTGGCTACCGGAACTCTTCATTTGAGTCTTCCGGTTTGTGTTGTCCAATTTTTTTATTTTTTTTATTTTTTTAAATTATTTTTGAATTTTTTTAAATTCTTTTTTTTTAATTCTTTTTTAAATTCTTTTTGAATTATTTTTGAATTCTTTTTAAATTCTTTTTTTGAATTTCAGAAATCCCTTTACAAATATGCGATAAAGATCAGATATGCGTAAACACGTCTGATATTTTTTCAACTACTCAAAGATTTGGTATACGAGAAGAGGTAATAAGATGTATTAAAGAGATCGGAATCCGAAATAAAGTTACGGTTATCATCACTCGTTCAGATATTGAAACAGGCAAGAGAGGAAGAAGTAACAAATTAATATTTGGATGTGATAAAGGTGAAAAACACAAAGATATTGACAGTGGAACCCAGAGTGCGACGGAAAAATGTGGATGTCCATTTAGAATCAGGTTAATTCCAGCGACTGATGGATCTGGATGGAAGATTGATGTAAATTGTGGAGTTCATAACCATGGTTTACCTGATAGATTAGAAGGTCACGCATTTGTTGGTAGGTTGACAACGGATCAAAAGTAACATGTTGATTTGACAAAGAGAAAGGTTCCACCTAGACATATATTGCTTTCATTGCAAGAGCAAGATCCGGATAATGTCACTCGGATCACGCAAATATACAAGCAGAAGAGTCTGATTGAAAAAAATATAAGAGGTCCTAGAAGTGAGATACAACATTTGTTTAAGCTTATTGAGGAAGCAGGTTATGTTTATTGGAGTAGAAAAAGAGATGACTCTGAAATTATTAGAGATATCTTTTGGGCTCATCCATATTCAGTTAAGTTGTTGAATATTTTTCTTATTGTGCTAGTTATGGACAGCACCTACAAGACAAATAAATATAGGCAACCTCTGTTTGAAATTGTTGTCATGACATCAACCGAGTTGACTTTTGCTGTCGCATTTGCCTATATTGAGTTTGAGCAGACTGAGACTTTTTGTTGGGTGTTAGATAAGCTTAAACAATTGTTTGTGAAGAAAAAGTTGTGTCCACAAGTGATTTTGACAGATAGAGATCTTGCTTTGATGAAAGCCATTGAAATTGTGTTTCCAAGGTCGATCAATATGCTATGTCGATTTCATATTAACAAGAATGTTGGTGCAAAACGGAAACAATATGTGGCTAGTGACATGCAAAAAAAATTTGACGAATTATGGACGAATGTTGTATGGGCTAGTGATGAGGTTGAGTATGATCAAAGGTTAAACCAACTTGAGCAGGCGTGTGTTGATTGTAATGAATTTATTGATTATGTGAAGGACACATGGTTGACACCACATAGACAAAAATTTGTTGGAGCATGGATTAATCGAGTGCTACATTTGGGTAACACCACGACTAATCGGTATGTATTTATTTTTAGTATTTCTAAATTGTATATTTTTTTTTGAATTTTTTAAAAATATTTTTAATATGTATTACTTTTAGGGTTGAGTCTTCTCATTGGAAGTTAAAGCAAATGTTGGGGAACAGTATTGGTGACATGGTCAAATGTTGGGAGGTTATGAATGACAACTTAGAGTTACAATTGAGTAATATTAGAGCTTTTTTCAAAAGAGATTTTATGAAGTTGAGCACGCCCGCGTAAGTCCATTTTACAATAATTTACGTGGTTCAATGTCTTGAGATGCATTGAGACGCATTGCTGAAGAGTTAAAATGAGTTGATTATGTTGGAACTAACAAGGAAATATGCCGTTACTCTTAGAACAGCCTACAGATTACCTTGTGCTTGTGAGTTGACATGATATAGAATTAATGGTATACCGATACCAATAGATGTTGTGCATGTTCATTGGAGAAAACTAAGTATGGAAGTTAAGTTGGACGAAGACGTAGATGATGGATCAGAGGTGGATATGAGTAGTGCAATAGATGAGTTATGGAAAAGGTTTAAGTCACTGGATGTTGTTGGGAAAAGGGCATTAAAAAGTAGGGTTTTTGAACTTGCCTTCCCCACAATGACTTCTATGTGTCCACCACCTGAGAAAATAAAAACTAAAGGGGGAGTCAAGAAGAAAGACAAAAAACCAGTAGGATATGATGTTTATAGAGACCCTTCGTATCACGAGTATGTTGATCAAGCATCTCAATCTTCACAGATGCAATCTCAACCATCACAAACTTCGAAGAAGTTGAAATTATCACAGTCTTCACAAAAGAAATATCAACCATCACAAGCTTCGAAGAAGTTGAAATTATCACAATCTTCACAGTCATCTAAGTAGTTCATCCTTCAGTTTCCTGATCACATTCGGTCATATATTGATGATGTAGTTAATGTTGTATCAGATGGTAATTATGGATTTATAGTCATTGCTTCATTGCATGGATATGGTGAAGATGGCTGGCCAATGGTTCGTTGAGACTTGGGGTTGGAAATAATACATAATGAAAGATCAAGTTTGTATACTAATTTATTTACTGATCAGTTAGTAGTGGTGAGAGAATCTTTGAGGATAGCGGAATTTGGTCCTCAACCACCACATAAATGGTTAACTTTACCAGATATGGGTTACGTGATAGCGAATCGTTATAATGTTGTACTTGTCTATTTAGGAATTGAATGCTGGACTTTCTTCCCTATGACAACTTCATTTTCACCGAATGTAGCAATTTACTGCATTGGTTTTGTAAACATAAATCATTGGGTTCAGGTACTTAGTTGTTTTTAGATAATTATGATTCGTGAATTATTTTATTTATTTTTTATTTCAGGCTACAAGTTAACACATAATTATAAACCAGTTACGTCAAATGAGTCAAAAAATTAACACATAAACATAAAAAAATTAGGTCAAATGAGTCTAAAAGTTAACATATAATCATAAATATAAATATAAGTCACTGTGATCGAGCAATATGTAAAGCTTCGAACAAATTCGCAAATTATGGGTCATCATCTTCAGCACCAACCTACTGAAGATAACAATGAATCAACAAAGACACACAAGCCCAGCTAGGATCAGATGGTCCTGCTTCATATACAGGAACTGACATCTCTGGTGGCATCTCTGCTAGCGCATCATGATAGGGTGGCGGTACCAGACGAGGATGCGAGACACGATAATACCACTAAAGATATCCATCATTTGTCTCATATGAGGTGGTGGCCGGTGCTGTCGGACGAATCACATTCTGAATGCTATGATGATAACTAATCCAGTCAACATCAATATCACCAGCCATTGTATGATCAAGAGGTGGATGTGGAACATACTGCCTGTATCTAAACTGACGCATACATCTGTCAGGCAAGTATGGAACAATAGTGTCACCCCACCTCAGACACCCCTTATATAGACACATCTCATCAAACTGACGCCATACTCTATGAATCTCGAATGTGCGCCATATGACATCAGCAGGTGTTAGCTCGTCCAGAATAGGTCGCAACTCATCCACCTTCAAGGCACCTTGCCTATAGGACCATCTCATCGCTCGAGGGAGACCCACATTATTAGCTGGTATCCAGTTCTCTCCTTTTTTTCCAAGTGTTGGAAAATACTCATGAATCCAGCACTGTTACAAAATAAATATGGTTACTAAATTTAAAATAATTAATTATAACATAATAAACTAGATAAATAAAATTAATATACTAGATAAAATTTATTAAAACAAAATATACTAAATTAAAATAAATACCTGTAGGAGAGTCGGATAACCACCAAGCTGCTTACAGCTGAACATGGAAGCATCTCCGAGATATCTGTAAAGAGTAACCAACGCAACTGCTCCCCAATTGTATCCTGATAAGTCATCCAAGTCTATAAATAGTCACTATGCCAAAAGAGACATTTAGCAGCGCTTTTTTTGGCCTTTAGCAGCGCTTAAAAGCGCTGCATAAAGTGGCGCTGCTAAAGGTAAAGGGAGCGCTTTTTTTTTTATAGGAAAAGCGCTGCTATAGGGTCCCTTTTAGCAGCGCTTTTTTTACCCTTTAGCAGCGCTTTTATAAGCGTTGCCTATTCCCCCTCCCCTCTCCCCTTTTAGCAGCGCTTTTTTAGACCCCCCCTTTAGCAGCCCTTTTTAAAGCGCTTTCTTAGACCTCCGTTTAGCAGCGCTTTTTTAAAGCGCTTTCTTAGACCTCCCCTTTCCCAACCTATAGTAGCGCTTTTTTAGGCCTCTCTTTTTCCCCCTTTAGCAGCGCTTTTTTGTAAAAGCGCTGTCTATTTCTTCACGATTTTGAAATTTTTTTTTTAAATAATCACATTTTTTATATATTTTTCGACAAACCTGCTTATAACAATTACATTCTCTGCTTATAATTCAGGCCTTTAATTTAACACTTGGCCTTAAATATAACAATTACTTTGGCCTTATTTATGTGTATTCATCACTTTGCAATATTATACACAATAACTAAAGTATACATTGTAATTCACCACTTTGCAATATTATACACATAAACCTGCTTAAATATATTACAACACAATCCGATCCTCAGAACAACATCACATATACAATCAATTTACATATAATTACAAATCCGATAATTTTACAAATAGACATTATACAATTCTCAACTCAAGAATAAATTGACGCCATTCCTCCTTAATTTCTTCCAATCTTACTTTCGAGTAAGTACCAAACTTGATTTCATCAAAATACTACATAATATAACAGAACATGCACGATTTAATTTTAAAACTAATTACTCAGATGAAATATCGGTTAATTATCAAAATGAATCATATAACTTATGAATTGATTCATACCATGATTGGAATCTCTATTTGACCAGAAAGAATAATTTCCTTCATAAAGCGCAATACAAAATATCCGTAGTCAATCCCATTGCGCTGACGAGGACACTGTAAATGGAAAAAACAAACGAACTTTTATCAAGATATATAGTTTAAATAGTTTTATCAAGTAAAACCACTATAACAGTCAAACATGGGAAAATATACCTCCACTCTGATCCAACTGATGTTGTTAGCCTTGCTTTTTAGCACTGTTGCATCTCTTTGTGCTCTGAATATTTGTATAATTCTAACATAATATAAACGCATATTTAGAACAATGTCACATAATAAATAAAGATATATAATTATTCAGAACAGTATATCTCATCACTTACGTATCAACCATGTTCTTTAGATTTTCATATTTTGTTGTATCGCCATCCAATGAATCTATATAATACACTATTTCTTTCATCGAATTAATCGCGACCAACAACCAGTGTCCACTATAAAATAAGACAACAGTTTAGACGAAAATGTTATATAGAATGGAAAAAATCGAACAATTATAATAAATGAATTTAGAATAAAATCTAACTCATGGCCAGTATTATATGGCAACAAGAACAACTTCTCTGTAGTCGCGCCCATAAATCTCTGGACTGTGTACTCTTTGACTGCATCTGGTGTCTGGTCTATTATCTGTGAGTTGATACAACTAGCAGATAAGAATGCGAATATTGAAGTCAAATCATTCGGGACCAACAACTTGTCATACAAGAGCCTAAAAAAACATAATAAACATTAGAATATTCAGTTAAACGAGCAAATTTTAAAATGTTCAATTATTTAATTAAAATGGATCGGAGTACCTGATGTAGGAATGCATAACACCGACGCCCAATTCAAAATGTTTGAAAACCTGGTCAAAATCCTCCTTAGCAATTGTTCCGGGATATTGAAAACCGAAAATACCTTCCTCCATAGGTATTTGACGGATGCCACCCTCAGTCACGTCTGTTGTTCCTACATATGTTTCAAGGCACATCCTAAATCGAAGAACAAATGCTTTTTTTGGCTCGACCTTTTTTTTGTTGGGCACCTTGGAAGTTTCAGGCATCTTACCCTTGCTGACTTGTTGCGACTGCTGATCATGAACCTAAAAGTCATATATAAGTTCAGTAATTAATGTATAATAAGTGCTCCAATGTAACTTTTCAGCAACGCACCGTTAGGCTCAACTAACTGATCTCTTTCATTCCAATGGACATCATACTTTACACCTTTATCTCTCGCACGAATGATTTTTTTCATAATCGTTATTCCTCTTTTAATATCGCCTTCCACGTCTTTTGTTGATTGTTTTCCATCATGTGATGTTTCCTCGTTGTTGGCCATAATATACCTGTAATTCAGAAAAACCAAAGTATCAAATGAATGACATGCAAATATGTAAATAAGAAACATATACATAAGAAATGTATAAATAAGAAAAACATGGTATAAATAAGAAATATATACATAAGAAATGTATAAATAAGAAAAACATGGTATAAATAAGAAATAATATGTAATTTTATTGCATGATATAAATATGTAATTTTATTGAATGAGACAATATGTAATTTTACAAGTACCTTTAACATCTCTTTGTTTTCTTTGTTTGAACGTGGTTTACTTGTCTCTTAACAACACGGACGAATGGATTGATCCAAATTCCCTCGTTATGATCATTTCTAATATATGATCCGTCCGCTCTAATATTCTCGTCTGGATCATCTATATTATAAGATTCATTCTCAACATCAACATCCCCCTTTTCTCCAATGTTATCATCGATTACTTTGTTGGAAAAAAAGAACTATATACCATTTCGTACTTGTCGGATCAGTGACATAGAACACTTGTTTAGCTTGCGTGGCTAGAATAAAAGGCTCATCTTTGTACCCCACCTTATTAAGATCCACTTGCAAAAAACCTGACTTATCCATTCGTATGCCACTATTATTTTCAACCCACTTGCATCCAAAGATAGGAATCTGAAACTTCTCATAATCAAACACCCAAATACGCTCGATAACCCCAAAATACGAGGACATGTGTATTGCTTCGGCAAGCACGGTGACACCACTATTTTGCATTGTACTTTTATCATCTTGTTCCTTGGTATAAAATGTGTATACATTAATTGCGTATGCTCTATAAGAAAACACATGCAAAATTGGATCATATGCTAAACATCTCAACCTTTCTGTTATTGAAGCGGGATCAGAATAAAACTTTAAAAAAATATGCTCCTTGAACCATGTTATAAAACTTCGATTATGCTCACGTACTATCCAATTTTCATTTCTATTCAGATTTTAAACCTCGGAGAACGTCCTTGTGCATTTCAACATACGACTCAACCTCAATGTCATTGTGCAGAACATACAAATGCACTTGCTCCCATTCATCCCTTGAAACTGTCACAACTTTATTTCCAATTAACTATTTACCTACTATTTTTTCAACAACATGAGATTTTGGGAGGCCAATGGATTGAACGTTGGACAAATATTCAGTACAAAACTCAATAGCTTCTTCAACAATGTATCGTTCAACAATACATCCCTCTGGTCGACTTCAGTTTTTCACATACCCTTTCAATATTTTCATATAACGTTCAACAAGGTACATCCATCTCATATAGGCAGGTCCACACAGTTTTGTCTCTTTCACAAGATGAACAACTAGATGTACCATTATGTCAAAAAATGATGGAGGAAAATACATTTCAAGCTCACACAAAGTAATAACTATTTCTTTTTGCAATGTTGGTAAGATCGCAGGATCGATCACCTTACTACAAATAGACCTGAAAAAAAAACACAATTTTGTGATTGCGCCTCTCACTTTTTCTGGCAAAATAGAACATATACCTATTGGTAGAAAGTGTTCCATTATAACATGACAATCACGTGTCTTTAAACTCTTTAACTTGAGGTATTTCATAGAAACAAGTCTTCTAATATCTGAAACAAGTCTTCACTCAGAAACTTACACATTATCTTTTTCTCCTTTTTAGACAAAGTATATGCAGCAGGTGGTAGATATGTGTGATTTCCTTTCTTCAAGGGTCCTAATTTATTTCTTATTCCCATTGTTACCAAGTCCTTTCTTGCTTTAAGGCCATCTTTAGACTTTCCTTGTATATTGAGTAACGTACCAATAACACTTTCAAATACATTTTTTTCAATATGTATAACATCAAGAAAATGTCGTACATACAACGACTTCCAATACGGCAACTCAAACAAAATTGACCTCTTCTTCCACCCACGCGTGACAAGCTTATAAGCAAAAGGCTTTCCAAACTTAGTACTCACATCTTTCACCTTTTCAAAAATATGTTCGCCGGTCAATGTAGGTGGAGCTCTACGTTGTTCTGAATTTCCATTGAATGCTTTTCTCCACCCACGGTAGTGATGATTAGAATTTAAGAATCTACGATTGTCACACCCTTATTTTCACCCTTTTAGCCTTTATACCCTACACTCGGCATATTATACATCGTTCCATTGCATATCGAGCACGCAGGTTCACAAGGTGCGATTTAGGTTGGTTTGTTATCTTTCATTTCAAATAAAAGAGATTTCCTATCATGGAATACATGGAAGGAAAGGTTCATCATCTAAGGTTTGACCTAAGTCGGAAAAGTCTACTCATGTAGATTCCCTCAAAGAGAAGTTACTTGAAAATATATTCAAGATTAATTCCTAATGGACATGAAATGCAAGACATAATTCAAGATTTCTTTATCCAACTTTGTATCAAGTTCTTGATCAAGTGGAGTTCAAATTTGCAAAGCATGAGTCAATATCAAAAGTTCATAATTTAAGACTTCATCCATTTCAAGTATAATGGTGCAAGGAAAATCCATAATGCAAAATTCAAGATTTACGAATTCAAGATTAGAGGCAAGAATATTACAAAGAGAAATTTTATGACACTACAAGAATGCCA